ATGGATTTTTTTAAAAAGCTTGTATTATATTGGGACTCAAAACATAGCTACTTGGAACAATTGCAGGTACATAGCCCTCTGACATCCTTTCAAGGGAGGGTTATCATGACATTATCCTCATTTGTGTTTCACACTTATTACTTGTTCATTCAATCCCAAGAGCATTTAGTGCCTATTGTATATCTTGGGTATACATTAGTAAGACAATTTAGTTCTCAGCTCTTAAGGCACTTGCCTTCTCATGGCAGAGAGATGACAAACAAGAAGAAAACTATTCTAATAGTTATAAGGGATATGGAGATAATTAAAATTGGGTGGTATTATGGAGAATATCTGGTGGCTATTAGTCTGCAAGGTCATGGAAAGCTTCTCTGCGAAGCTGATATATAAATGGAAGCAAGGAGCAAGCTAGGTGCAGATGAGGGAGAAGAGGTAGTACAAAGGCACTATTTTCGGGGTGGGCATTGTGTACCCAGAGCCCAAACTAGGCTGGAGTGTTCTCTGGAGAAGTAAATTGGATTTGATTGTCAAATAATACTGCGTAGATATTTGTAAGATTTCTGTCTAATATACAGAGAATGGGCTGTATGGGGGTAAAAATGGAGGCAGGGAAACCAGTGAGGAGGTTATTAAATCAGTTGACTTAAATGATGATGGTGGCCTGGAGCAGGGTGGGAGAAGTAGGTGAAAATGGAGGGGACATAGTGAAGGCTTGGTTGTAGTAAGTGAGGGGATTGTTCTGGGATGAGATAGGCACAGATGGAATTGCAAACTGAAATATCAATAAGTTAATTTTAAAAGGTTTATTTCTGGCTTGAATAAAGTCTAATGAGAGTCACGGAGACTCAGTGATCTCATCTGTTACCATTTTGTGGCTCTACCATCTCAGCAAGAGGACTCCAAGGTTGTCATGTTAGAAGAAAAGAGGTAGAAGCAGCATCCTGGCTCTTAGGTCCCTTAGACTGAAAGTGATAGGCTGATGCACTACTTTCACTCATATTTCTTTGTTAAATTCAGTCCTATAGCCTGAACCTACCTAAGTGGACACTCTTTTCTTTCGTGTACAGATGTGGTGAGTTCAGTATCATCTCTCTGCCAAAGGGTGTAAATAAAGTATGCTCTTTGGGCATGCGGATGAGTCTGGAGTCCCACGGTGTAAAGCCTGGAGTTTTCATTTTGGGAATTATTAGCTCTTACCTAGTCCTTGGATTTTGATATGCAGTCACCTAGGCAGAATATATAGATGACCAAGAGAATGAAATATTTCAGGAAAGAAGGATATGCGTCTCTGTAGAATGTTAAGATGAGGTTAAATGAGAGTGTATACATATGCCCCAATTCACCAAACTGTACACATTATGGGCAGATTTTTGTATACCAATTATACCTCAATAGAGCTGGGGGAAAAACACACAGTGAAGAGTATATTGAGTTTGATAGCATGGAGTTCACTGCCAAGAGCAAATTGTGTAATAGTGGCAATTGAAGTCCAGGTGGAAGGTACTGAAGGAAAAATTTAGCAACACTTGCTGTAGAAGGGAAGAGAAATGTTACGTAGATGAAGGATTTTTTTAAGTTAGAGAATACTACAGTATGTGTTTATCCTGGTATAAATTATCCAATAGAGAAGGAGAAATTGTTAATACAGAAGGCAAGACAAATGAGGGGTAATGATAGGAACAAAATCCCTGAAGGAAAGAAGAGGTTAGAATCCATAGCTGTAGTAGAGATTACAGACCCTTTTCTGGAGCAGGACACATCCTCCATAGTAATCGGAAGGCAAGAAGAACATACATATGTGTAGAGAGAAGGCAAACACCGGGCAGAATATAAGTGTACTCCTGTCTGAATCCTCAGACATTCACTTCTCAGTGAAGTATGAAGCAAGATCACTGGCTGAGTTAGTTGATGGGCAGCGATGAGGGAGATGTATAGGAGATTTGAGAAGAGATGAGAAAGTGTGAAATGTTGGTTTTTTGAATGGGTAGGAAGCATAACTAGGGCATCTGAACAGAACACCCCTTTTAGATTGTGGCAGACTGACTCTAGAACCACTCAGCAGGGTTAGGCTGTTGGTTGCATGGGCAGAACAGACAGCTGGATTTTACCAGGGTTTGAGACTTGCCAACGTAGCATGATGAAGGCATAGTGAAGGAATGAATGGCATTTGTGAGGATGTAATTGTGACAGGCTATGGAATGCAAGCTGGGGAAGTAAGGGAGGTGAGGCTGTGAGAGAGTTAAGGACCTCTCTCCTTCTCAATTTATGTGTGCTGATTCCTCCACCTAGGCTGATGTTTGCTTGTTCATCCTACAAATTTTATCTCAAAGATCTTTGACTAAGAAGAGCCGTTCTGGGTCCATCCATGTTGCTGCTAATGGCATTATTTCATTCTTTTTTATGGCTAAGTAATATTCAATTGTGTGTGTGTGTGTGTGTATACACCACATCTTCTTTATCCATTCATCTGTTGATGGACATATGGTATTACTTATACATGCAATCTAAAATATGACACAAATGAACATATCTATGAAACAAACAGACTCACAGATACAGAGAATAGACTTGTGGTTTCCAAGTGGGAGGGAGTGGGGGAGGGAAAGATTGGGAGTTTGGGATTAGCAGATGCAAACTATTATATATAGGATGGATAAACAACAAGGTCCTACTGCATAGCACAGGGAACTATATTCAATATCCTGTGATAAACCATAATGGAAAAGAACATGAAAAAGAATGTACATATGTATAACTGAGTCACTTTGCTATATAGCACAAATTAATACAATATTGTAAATCAACTATACTTCATAAAATGTTTTGAAAAAGAGCCATTCTGGATATCCCAACAGTACCCCTCCCTCTCGTGCATACACTGACCTGCAACATCAGGCCTCTGTGAGGTCACCCTGTTCTGTTATGTACTTGTATTTCATAACACTTATCCCAGTTTGTAATTATATATTTGGGTGATTTTTATTAATCTCTCCCCTCCCCAATAGACTATGAGTTTCATAGGACTAGGAGAGCTATGATTCTGCTCTTTGCAATACATATCTCTTATACCTCACACCATGCCTGGCACATAGCAGTTCATACACATAGGTTGTAATAGATAATTCATGCATGTTAGCATCACAGAGTACTGGGATTAGTAATAATTTGAGGGAGTGTGTCACATTAGGGCAAACTACCTTCTTGGCATGTGTTGATATATAGAGTCTTACATGTAAACATAAGAAAATGGTTCCAGCAGATTTACTTGAGTGAAATGGATGTGCTGAAATATTTGAATGACTAGGGTAGTCTCAGGATGCCCTGCTAGGAATTGAGTCTCATAAGAGATGACAACTTTGTCGTAGGGCTGTAATGAGATCTGGGAAAAACTGCTGAATTCATAGATGAGGCATTAGAAAGTAAGCGCAATCCTACCTTTCAAATAATGGAAATAGGGGCAACAGAACTGATTTGTTTTTTGGACCTAAAACAATAGACTGCAGGTTTTTTCTTCAGCAAAGATGGGTTGATTTGGGATCAGTGTAGAATTGCAATTTGGGGTCTGCAACCCTGGCGAGCCACGTGCAAGTCCCACTTGATGAGGAAAGGAGAACCCCTTCATAGAAGAGAAAAGCAAGTTGGAAGGGCTTTAGTAAACAAAGAGTCCATGGCTTTTCATTGGCCAAGGTCTTGCCAGGGAAGAAAAGAAGTCTTTCTTCTTCCTGTTGGGCTCTGCTATGGTTGCAGGGTATGAGAGCTCCCCCTCTCGTCTCCTGACTCTATTTAATTGAGGCTTGTTTATTTTTTACAAAAGCTATAAGAAATGGGAAGTGTGATTTCCAAAGTTCACAGTTGGTGGTTAAAGAAATATTAGGAGAACACCATGGGCTAGAGTGGGCCACTAAGTTTGAAACAGGTTGTTTATATTTTTCTAAAAACTGGTTAGTGTGGTGAATTATAGTGTGGTGAATATTTCTCTTAGTCCACGCAGGTAATGCATTTAATAAAATCTCATACTTTTTCATGTGAAAAAAAAAACTCAATCTACAATGAGAAAAGAATTACCCTAATCTGATAAAGAACGTCTGCCAAAAACTTCTATAAGCATCATTATGTTAAAAAGAATATACTGGGCTTCCCTGGTGGCACAGTGGTTGAGAGTCTGCCTGCCGATGTAGGGGACACAGGTTCGTGCCTCGGTCTGGGAGGATCCCACATGCCGTGAAGCGGCTGGGCCCGTGAGCCATGGCCGCTGAGCCTGCGCGTCCGGAGCCTGTGCTCCGCAACGGGAGAGGCCACAGCAGCGAGAGGCCCGCGTACCGCAAAAAAATAAAAAAAAATAAAATTGAAAAAAAAAATATATATATACTGATGATTTTTCCCATTAGTCAGAAACAAGCCAAGCAGTAGCCTCTCTTCCTAACTGCTCAGTGTCCTACTGGAGGTCCTGGCGAGGGTTTGGAAACTTGCTCTGCTGCTTGTAAATCAGGCAGTTTCCACAACAGCCCCCAAGCTTGTTTGCTGGTGGGGGCACATAACAGTATTTATCTCAGTTGATTGGTGAGAGAATTAACTGAATCAAGTAGAATGCTTGGGAAGCACCCCACACAGCGATCATCCCATCGACGGTGACTGTCCTGAGGACGGTATAGTTCAGTCTATGTTTTTAACCCATCCATGTTGACTTCATGATAAACTTCTGGAAATGGAATGACTCCTGGGAATGGAATGACTAGGATGAAAGTGTTTTGCACGTTTAAAGGATCGATGCATATTTCCAAATGCCTGTCTCGCAGCCTGTCTCTTCCATACACTCACACTCACACTTGTTGAATGCAGTGTGATTCTAGACCCTTCACCCTCATGGATTCAGATATCTATTTAATAAATAGTCTCTACTTTGTCAGTGCTCCACCTATATAGCTTCCTCGACACGCATCCATTTCTCACGTCACCGTGTTCTTGCATTTTGGGGAATGTCATGTTTGCTTTCTTTCAAGGTCCTTTTCTTGCTGCCCACTGAAAATAAAGAAATTTATGATGGCATAAAAAGACACCTGTGTGTCAATTACCCGCTTCCAAGCCAGTGTGTGTTGAAACGGACCTTAGAGAGACCATCGCTACAAAGATTGCCCTGCAGATGAACTGCAAGCTAGGAGGTGCCCTCTGGAAGGTGGATATAGAAGTACGTGGGGATTTTGTTGCCTTCTCTTGCTTTCATCTGTCTTTGGTACAATTTGTTAAGGTCCTATTTAATTGGAAATTTGCTTCGTGTTCTAACTCAATCTGCTACCTTGTTTAAAATTTAAGTTGCAGAATGCAATGTTCATTGGTATCGATTGTTTCCACGGTATTGTACATCGACGGAAGTCAGTCGCAGGATTTGTGGCAAGCATCGATCCAGACTTGACGCGGTGGGTAAGCTTTGGCAGACAGTGTTTAGTGGGGAGCTATCTGGAGGCCAGATAGGAGAGGTGGACTTAACACACATTATTGGCAAGCTCCATGGACAAGTTGTTCTTAGAGATGTGCTCTCCTGATCTTCTGGCAAAGTTAGGCTCCCAGAACATTTTGTATGGAAGCCTCTGATCATTCTCTATTGCTGCCTAACAACCATGACAAAATATGGCAGCTTAAGACGACACTCACATGACCATGGACAGTCCTGTGGGTCAGATGTTGGGCACTGCGTGGCTCTCAGGGCCTTACAAGGCTGAGATTTTGTTTGTTTTTTTGGCTGCACTGCGCAGCATGCGGGATCTTAGTTCCCCGACCAGGGATCGAACCCATGGCCCCTGCGGAGGAAGTGCAGATTCTTAAACACTGGAGCACCAGGGAAGTCCCAAGGCTGAGTGAAAAGTGTCACATAAGCCACATTCTCACCTGGAGGCTTGGGATCCTCTTCCCAGCATACGTCGTTGTGGCAGAGCCAATTTTCTTGTGATTGTGGGACAGAGGACCCCACTTCCTTGCTGGCTGTCACCTACAGCTAGTCTCAGCTTCTAGAGTTTCATCCATGTTCCTTCTGATGTGCTCCCTGCCTCCCCTCCAACTTCCAACCCGCCAATTCACACTGTGCTATTGTTCTCTTTTGAATCTCTCCATCTTCCTCTTCTGTCATCAGCTAAAGAAAACTTGCTGATTTTAAAGGAGCTCAGGATGTCGGATATCATCCATCTGGAGACTCCTTATCCTAAAGTCAACTGTGCCATATAACATCACCACAGGGGCCAGATCTCAGTATGTTCACAAGTTCCAAGGATGAGGACAGGTAGAATTCTGCCAACCGCAGAATTTGATCAGTAAGCCTCTGCATAGGGACACATGAGGAAGCACTTAGGATATACGTGGGTGAAGACACATATGGGAACATACTCAGTGGCCTGTAGGTATAATAAGATCTTGTCTTCATACATTTGTATATAATGTACCTGAATAAGGAGATGTGCTTCTATATCCTATGATTCTCCTTTTCTCCAGGGACCTTTTATTTTCTGTGCTTAGAGTAGAAAATAAAACCCATAGTGCAGATGGGTTTGCATATTCTTCTCTTGTGCGTTGTGGTATGTGGGACAGTCACAAACCACCACTATGTTCAATGCTGTTTGTGGCCCACCAGGTATAATTCCACAGTATCCTTTAAGGATCTTTTTTTTTCCAGTCATACTCTAAATACAGTAACATGGATTTACTCTGCCTTTTTTAGTAGAAAATGTGATAATAGGTAAAAAGTTAAGCTTGCATTCATGCAATAGATATTTTTGAGCACTTGCTATGTGTAAATACTGAGAATGCAGCAGTGAAAATGTAAAGCCAAAATACCTGATCCCGTCCATTGGAGTACAGATTCAGATGAAGAGGCAAACATACATCATGCCCTATCAGGTCATCCTAATACTCTGAAGCAAACAAAAACGCAATAAGGGGATAGAAACTCGAGACAAACAGGTGATTTTACTTGATACCTTGAGCAGTGGTCACAATAGCTATTACTGTTTTGAAGCAAACTGCTCCCTCCAAAGCAGATTCATATGGATGAACCATTGTTTAAGACATTGAACTAAAGTAGGAGTCTCCAGAGAAACACTGGGTTTGCACTTTGTGGAATTCCCCAGGAGCTGAAACAATATGAGTCATATGTATTCAAAGCATGTATAATTTGTAGTTAATGTTAACAAATGTTTCCATTCTATCTTACTCTTTCTGTACATTCAAAATGTTACAAAATGCCTAAGATATGTGAAGAGACCAATACCTGGATCTCTGCAGCGGGATGAAGAATGGATCTTTAGGGCTTCCCTGGTGGCGCAGTGGTTGAGATGCAAGGGACACGGGTTCGTGCCCCGGTCCGGGAAGATCCCACATGCCGCAGAGCAGCTGGGCCCGTGAGCCATGGCCGCTGAGCCTGCGCATCCGGAGCCTGGGCTCCACAACGGGAGAGGCCACAACAGTGAGAGGCCCGCGTACCGCCAAAAAAAAAAAAAGGATCTTTAATTGGATCCTCAACTACTGATAGTGAATTTTTTTTTGGTCATAGATTAATTTCATCATTTTGATTCTGAATTAATCTTGTTTTCCAAACTAATGGCTTATTTTTCTCCATACAGGTGGTTCTCTCAATGCATCATCCAGCAATCGGGGCAGGAGCTTGTCAATGGGCTGACGACCTGCTTGCACAGTCAGTGCCTGGTGGAGGCTGGAGGGCTTGAGTCTATACTGGTGGAGATACTGCTCCCCCACCTGGGACATCTGGCAATGAGTGAAGACACTTTTGGTTGTCACAATGGGGATAGAGGTGCTATTGGCATCTAGTGGACAGAAGTTTAGGGATGCTGTTAAATGTCTTACCATGCATGGGACAGCAACACTCCCTGCCCCTGACCACCACAAAGAATTATCTGGCTCAAAATTTTCATACTCTTGTTAAGTATGGACTAGACTGAGGACTTAAGCAGTGTCCTGAAAGCTACCATGTTGACAAATGAACACAGAAGTTGTCAAAAATAGTGGCCACTTTGTTCCAAGTTATGGTTTATTTATATGTGTTTCTGACTTCCTTTCAGCTGCCTTGAAGCTCTGGTATGAACAAAATTCATCTCTGCCACATTCACCATTGTGTATCGAGATGGAGTGGGAGATGGACAGCTTCAAGCACTGACTGACCAAAAACTAAGACAGATGGAGTCCTACTTAGAAAATGCTTACAGAGGACAAAAGTGGGTATATTACTCTTGAAGTGCAGATTTTGTAAGCTTTACATTTTAGTTTCTGGGGGCAGGGGGAAATATCTACAACAATTGTGATGTGTGAATTGGAAAGCTGGATATGGAGGGATTCAGTGGATGGCGGGGGGGAGAAAAAACAGACCCTTCCCCCTTTGCGTTCCATGCCCACGTCAGAGGAGAAAGCAGAACTGAAGCCTTGCAGTAGCAGGTTGTTTCTCCATATGGAACCCCATGATTCTTTCTCTTTTTCTAATCTCCTTTCAAACCTTGATGGAGAAGGGCTTGCTAACCTCAGATATTCCTAAAAGTCCATGAACATAGCCTGTCAATGGTTTGTACTTATCCAGCTCCTTTATCCTGGAGTTCTGTACGTCCCAGGACTGGGGATTCCTCTCAGTTCCCTTCTCTGGCCTCACCTGTTTGTCAGTGAAGCCTGGTGCCCAGCATAGACAGTACAAGTAATCCTGACCTTGGGAGGAAGGGACCCTTCCCCTAGGATCTGAATGGCTATGAATAGAAACCTCCTCCTTTACTTCCTGAATCAGGCTCTTGGATCTAAGACAGTAAAATTGGGGTGTGTGGAGAGCTACCATCTGCAGACTCCTTTTAATGGCTCCTACGTGTGGGCTGTTTTCGACACTCTGAATGCTTCTGAGATAACGCAGAGCAAACAGAGTGACACTGATCATAATCTTTTAAGTGTCAGACTAACTTTCATCGTGGTGAAGAAACAAATAAACATCAGATTTTTTATTGAAAAGGATGAAGGAAGACTTGACAATCCATCTCCAGGAATTGTTATTGATTTAGAGGTGACTAGGACGGAATGGTAAGCCATCTTTATTTTAAAGATTCCTTTTTATTCAAATAGTAACAGAATTTTTTAAGGTTTGCGTGATTTGGACGAGAAAGGAAGAATTGACCTAAAGAAGGTTAAAAATGATAGGTATATTAGATGATAATTTTTTCTTTCTTCAATCATTTTGTTTCTCAGAGAATTTTATTTTTTTATTATTATTATATATATTTTTTTGCGGTACGCAGGCCTCTCACTGCTGTGGCCTCTCCTGCTGCGGAGCACAGGCTCCGGACGCGCAGGCTCAGCGGCCATGGCTCACGGGCCCAGCTGCTCTGCGGCATGTGGGATCTTCCCGGACTGGGGCACGAACCCGTGTCCCCTGCATCGGCAGGCGGACTCTCAACCACTGCGCCACCAGGGAAGCCCTCTCAGAGAATTTTAAAAACAGACAAATATTTATTGATCGTTCTAAGATGATTCCGTTGTTAGGAAGAAGGCTAGAACTTCTGGTTAACTTTAGACTTGTAAAGTGAATTATGCAAATGAGAAAGTTATGCAAAACCACAGCAAGAAATAAAACAGGATATTCATACCAACAGATAGGGAGAAATGAATTAAGCTTGAAGAAAGGCAGAAACACTGATTTTTCTAGTAGAAGGCATGAAAGGATTGAAGAAAACAAAGCAAATGAAGAGTACAATTAACATAAAGTATAACATAAAATGATATAAACATTCAATATTTACAATAAATTGGTTAAGCTTACCACTTATATAATTTAGGGAGTTTGAATATATTCTGGTGATTTGCAGGGATGGATATTCCCAACTTTCCCTGAACCTCTGAATCACATTACCTATGACCATGTCTAACGTGCTAATTTGATGTTTGCTGCCTCTAGGCATCAGTGCATATGCTTTTGAGTTTAAATCCCATGAGCGTTATTAATTGTCAATGATTTCACTGTCCTTTGTAGATTTGCTTTAGCAAATCATTGCTCAACAGTTAGCCAGGCTTCTAAATATAAAGGAAACTCTGTATCATAGATTTCTGTAAATTGTTACTTCAGAGACTAGGTTTGCTACACTGTTTTTCTTCTAAAATAAGCTTGATACCAATTAGGTTCTATAATTCTAGGTATGACTTTTTTATTGTGAGTCAGTCTGTGAAAGAAGGCACTGGCACTGTCACTCCCACTCATTATAATGTCATCCATGACACGCTTTACTTGAGCCCAGATGCAGTACAGAGTCTAACTTACAAATTATGCCACATGTATTACAATTTTTCAGTAAGTACTTTTTTTCTTTAATTTGGTGATGTGCATCTGTTAATCCTATACTCCTAATTTATCCCTCCCCCCTGCAGTTTCTTCTTTGGTAACCATAGGTTTGTTTTCTGTGTCTGTGAGTCTGTTTCTACTTTGTAAATAAAAATAAGTTCATTTGTATGCTATTTTTTAGGTTCTACATGTAAGTGATATCAAATAATATTTGTCTGTGATTTACTTCACTTAGTATGATAATATCTAGGTCCATCCATGTTACTGCAAATGGCATTATTTCATTCCTTATGAATGAGTACTGTTCTATTGTATACACATACCACATCTTTGTCCATTCATCTGCTGATGGACATTTAGGTTGCTTTTGTGTCTTGGCTATTGTAAATAGTGCTGCTACGAACATTGGGGTACATGCATATTTTTGAATTAGAGCTTTCATCTTTTCTGGATATACACCCAGGAGTGGGATTGCTGGGTCATATGGTAGCTCTGTTTTTAGTTTTAAGGAGCCTCCATACTGTTCTCCATAGTGGCTATGGTAAGTATTTTTTGATACTGATTTTCCTTCAGATCTGTGAAACTGTTCAAAATTGAATCTGCTTTTTGAACCTTGGATATCTATAAAAATTTAAACTTAGGGAAAGTAGACATAAAGGTAAGAAAATTGTTTTGGTTAATCTTTCTCCTAAAGGGTATCATCTGAGTCCCTGCTCCTTGCCATTATACCCATAAGCTGGCTTACCTGGTGGGCCAGAGTCTTCACCAAGAACCACATGGATCTCTGTCAAAACATCTCTTTTACCTTTAACATAGAGAAGAAAGCATGATAGGATGTTGAAAATCACAATTTGTAAATTTATTTTCTCATTCTGCATCTGTACATCTGAAATTTTTTCCTAGATGCACGATCAGAGCTTAAAACCATTCTTGACTGGACACGGACGAGACTCCAAGTGTGTTATGCTATTTTCAATACCACCACTAACTTAACATGAGGCTTCTCTTCTCCAGGCTGGAGAACTGACAGTGACAGTTTTGTTTTAGAATTTACCTCTCAAATGTGTTACAAGGACTTTATGATTAAACATGCCTGAATATTCTGTACTCCAAGCAATGCTGCTCTAATTGTAAAGGTTGGGGGACTTCCCTGGTGGTGCAGTGGTTAAGAATCCGCCTGCCAATGCAGGGGACACGGGTTTGAGCCCTGGTCCAGGAAGATCCCACATGCCGTGGTGCAACAAAGCCCATGTGCCACAACTACTGAGCCTGTGCTCTAGAGCCCACGAGCCACAACTACTGAGCCCACATGCCACAACTACTGAAGCCCACGTACTCTAGGGCCCATTCCCCGCAACAAGAGAAGCCACCGCAATGAGAAGCCCGTGCACCACAATGAAGAGTAGCCCCCGCTCACCACAACTAGAGAAAAGCCTGCACACACCAATGAAGACCCAACGCAGCCAAAAATAAATAAATTAATTAATTTTTAAAAAAGGTTGGGCATTAGTCACATGGAGAATATATATATCTATGAACAAGTAAATTCTACTTGGAAAATCATACCTACTTTATTTTTGTAACAACCTTTTTCTCAGGACAGTGAAGACATAAAAGTGGCAAAATTAAATGGGAATTTATTTGTGTTTAATATTTTGTATGAAAGAAACAACCTATATATGAAATAGTTTGTTCTTTGTATCTGCATGGCAATCTGAATTTTTTCTGGTGGAGCTGTAGTAAGGAGAGCTTTGCGATTTAAAAGTTGGTGGCTCAGGAATGTAACATTTTGTCACTTTTTCCACAAAGAAGGTAAATTAAAGGCTTTGTTAGCATTTCTGTTTAATTCATTCTCTTGTGCATGTTCTAAGTGTGACATTATTGTGTTAGCTGTACCATCATCAGAAGAAAGTCTTGAATAAGTTGTTTAAATGAAGCTATCATGTTTTTCCTGAAAGCAGACACATTTTTTTTTTCTCTTTCCACTTAAAACTATCTGTAAATAGACTTAAGAAACAATATGTGGGACTTCCCTGTGGCTCAGTGGTTAAGAATCCGCCTGCCAATGCAGGGGACACGGGTTCAAGCCCTGGTCTGGGAAGACCCCACATGCTGCAGAGCAGCTAAGCCCGGGCGTGACAACTACTGAGCCTGCGCTCTGGAGCCCGCGAGCCGCAACTACTGAGCCCACGCACCGCAACTACTGAAGCCCACACGCCTAGAGCCTGTGCTCCACAACGAGAAGCCACTGCAATGAGAAGCCCACGCACCACGACAAAGAGTAACCCCCGCTCACCGCAACTAGAGAAAGCCCGCACACAGCAACAAAGACCCAACGTAGCCAAAAATAAATAAATAAATAACTTAATTAACTAAAAAAACAATATGTGAAACTTTCATTCTCTTATACTCCTAGAGTGGTATTTTTTCTTTTTGAGGTGGGGTAGTTAGGGGGCTTCAAATACATCAGAAAGGATATGTTTAAAAACAATATAATTGCTTTGATTATAGGTTAATCAATTTAGGTTTGCAATTTGAACCCATCTTATAAGAAATAAAATTAAAACAAGTCTTTTAAATATACTGTAATCCAGGTAACGTCCTACCTAGCTGTATTGCTAATAATGATAAATATAGGATATGGTCTCCATGATTAAAGATAACACATTCTTTTCTAAAGCTAGAATTTGATTTATGATAATACATTTATGGTAGTACATTTCTAGAGAGCTACAAAAATCACTTGGAACAAATTCAAAGTAATGAGCACTTTCTGAACATTTCCTATAAATGCAATACAAATATTATTCATAAAACTATAATGTCTAGAATTATAAATTTAAAATGTGATTCACTAAACGTATTCATGTTAAAATCACTGAATTCAGTCTTGTTCTTAAAAATATGGTCTTAGGCTTCTTAATCTACTGATTAGAAAAAATTGTTGCTTTTGTAAGATGAACAGAAGTATTGTGACCAGGACACCATCTGACTTTATTAGCCTACTAGTCCTTTATAAATTAGATGAAGGAAACTGGGTATCAAATATTTCTAGGAGAAAGCTTTATTGTTCCAAAGGCTTACAGATAAACTTTCTCCAGTGTATCATAGTACCTAAGTTTCACGTTACTGAGTAGGTTAGGAATGAATTTGGCCTAAGCAGCAATACAATATATAATCTAAGAATAATGAATGTCCTGACTCTGAGTTAGAGGTCTGATGTGGGCATTACCGGGCTAAAATAAATGCCAGCAGGGCTGCATTCCTTTCTGGAGGCTCTAGGAGTCTGTTTCCTTCATTCTAGCTTCCAGAAGTTGTCTGCATTCCTTGCCTCCTGGCCCCGCTTCCATCTTCAAAGCCTGCAATGGCCAATGAAGTCATTCTCATATCCCACTGACACTGATTCTTCTGCCTCCCACTTCCACTTTTAATGGCCCTTGTGATGATGTTGGGACCGCTTGGATAATCCAAGATATTCTCCCTATTTTAATGTTAGCTGATAGGCAGCCTAGCTCCATCTGCAACATTAATTCCCTTTCCCTATATAAGGCAACATTTGGGTAGAATCCAAGGATTAGAATATAAACATCTTTGGAGGGGCCATTAACCTGCCACAGAGACATTGCCCAGGGCTGAGCGTGTCGGGGAACAGGGACACATGTGAATGTAGGAACTCCTCCCTCCCATGGGTGCCTCAGAATAAGAGACTTAGGGGAGCACCCACTGGAGTCTCAGGCAGCACAGCTCTTGAGCACCTGCCCCATGACCTGCACCCCTCTCCTCACCATTCTCCTCCCTCTCTGCAGCAGGTGAGGGCTGACCTGTTCTGGGTGGAATATTTGTGGGGGACCCCTCAGTTCTGCCCTGTACCCTCATTCACTTGGCTCACTGTTCCCTCTCTCCCTCTAGGGTCTACGGCCCAGGCAGGGCTGACTTAGCCACCCTCAGCATCCAAGGGCCCAGGACAGATGACCACCATCACCTGTACTGGAAATAGCAACAATATGGGCAACCAGGGAGCAGCTTGGCTGCAGCAACACTCAGGCTGTGTCCTCAAACCCCTGACCCACAAGTATGTTAACCGACTCTCAGGAATCACAGAGATTCGTGGGCTCTGGGTCAAGGCAGACTGGCCTCTCTCTCTCTGGTCTCCAGCCTGGAGATGAGGCTAATCATTACTGCTCAGCATGGGACAGCAGCTGAGTGCTTGCACTGTGCTCAAGGTCCACAGGGAAGTGAGAGAAAGACCTTTGGGCTTCAGGCTACCTACTCGCTGCCCAGAGCATCGGGGTGCAATGGATCCCTGAGGAGATATGGAGTAGACAATATTGGGTACTTGAAGGGGCTTTTTAAAGTTGGGACTGCCAACAAAACTCAATAAATCCAGTTAAGGATGTTTAGAATTACTCATTCAAAAATATTTATATGCAGCACAGTTCTAAACCTACTGAGATCTACTTGATGATGTGTATTACATGTATTTATTAATGAAGAGGAGCTAGGTTAAATATGTTTATTTAACCTCCGATTTTTTCCATAAAGGAACTGTAAACAATGCCAAGAGTAGCTAAAGGGACATTTACTTGCCCAACTTCTTCCTAACAATCTTTCAATTCCATGCAATCATCTAATTTTTCAGTCCTGTGGATTATCCACCATTACAGCATATATTGGCCACTTCCTGGGGTCCCTAACACTAGAACAGTAATGCTCTCACACAGTTTATGTTTTTGGATGTCAGTCTCCTCAATTGTGCCTCCAAAGCCCCACCTTCACCTTTTTCTACCAGTCCCTGAACACAACAGTGTGAGAATTAGAAGGGTGCCGTGGGAGCACATATTGAGTTAAACCCCAGTGAGGGTTTAGGCTTGGGGGAAGCATTTAGGACACAGAAACCTGACCCCAGAGGGTGATATCTTTAGGATTTATGGAAATGAGCTAGAAGGAGAAATAAGGGGGAAAATGCTCTAGGTGTTGGTAACAGCATATGTCAACAGAAAAAAATTTTTTTGGTTGTTCATCCAAGTAAATAATAGAATTTGCACTGGGCCTAAGTGTGGCAGATGGCAGTGTGGACAGGGTCAGGAGAAGTGACTCTAGATGAGTCTGGATGAGATGAAGGAAGGGTGCAGCCATGTCGTAAAGATAACACATCCTAAGAAGTATGCATTTGGCTGTAGAGGTCATGTGGAGCCTGGGCTAGTCAGAGTTCTCTAGAGAAACAAACAGAGATAGAAGGAGATTTATTATGAGGAATTGGCTCACATACTCAGGGCTGTGCACACGCTCAGGAAAGACCTGCGAAGGTCCTAAGCTCTCACCTCTGGCTGACCTTGACGTTCTGCACAAGCAGGAAGTGAAGGCTTAGGTGGGGATTTCCGCTGCCTGGCTGAGTGCTAAGACAAAAATCCCCATGCTCACAGAGCCCCTCAGTAAAGACTGGGTGACTTCTTGGTTCCAGGCTGTTAATGAAATCTCTATCCAATCAACAAATGACCACCAAGTAACAAAACAGGGACGACAGTGGTCACACACGACACAGAATACACTTAGTGAATTTGCTCAGAAAAGTCAATAGCAAAACAACAACAAAAAAAAAACCCCAAAACCAAAAACACAACAAGTACAAAAAAATAGCATAACAACAAATCCTGGGGAGGGGTGAGAATCTGATTCTCAGAGTTTCCATGTGATATTATTTTAAATGTCCAGTTTATGCCCCCCCGCCCACCAAAAAAAAAAGTGTGGTCCAGAAAAGAGTTGACATAGTAGGGTTGAGATTGCTTTCCTTAGAAAGGCCTGCTTGCTAGATTGGCCCTTGGCTAGAGTCTGGGAACTTGGAATCAGGACAGTCCCCACCATTCTCCAGTAAGAGTGGCTCACTGTGCCCAAGCTGTTTTTGCAAACACTGTGCTTTATGCTGAACATCTCTTTCCTGCTGAAATTCTTGAGTTTAGGTATGTGCTAGGCAGAGGATGACTAAATGACCAGCCCCCAGTAACAACCTCTGGGCACACAGTCTCTAATGAGGTTCCCTGGAAGCCAACATTTCACATGTGCTGTCACAAGTTTTGTTGGAGGAGCTCAGTGTGCCTGTGTGACTCCACTGGAGCAGGATTCCTAAAAGCCTGTGCCTGGTTTCCTCTGGACCTCCTGCATGCACTTTTCCCCTGAGCTTATTCTGCTTCGTGTGCTGTCATTGTAATAAATGATAGCAACTAGTATGACAATATACTGAGTTCAGTGAGAGAATCATATAGCCTGGGGGTGTTCTCGTCCCCCCACCAAAACAGGCTGACACACAAGGGTTAAAAAACCCTAGTAGACAGTATCTTCATGAAACTCCTGACAATGGACAAATACTTTGTATCAGCTATTTTTTTAAACCAGTTTTTAAAACTGAAGTGTAGTTAATTTACAATGTTGTGTTAGTTTCAGGTGTACAGCAACATGGTTTGGTTTATATATATATGTGTTCTTTTTCAGAATCTTTTCCATTATAGGTTATTATAAGATATCGAATATAATTCCCTGTGCTATACAGTAGGTCCTTGCTGTTTATCTACTTTATACATAGTAGTGTGTATATGTTAATCCCAAACTCCTAATTTATCTCTACTCCCTCCTTCTGCTATCCCCTTTGGTAACCATAAGTTTGTTTTCTATGTCTGTGAGTCTATTTTTGTAAATAAGTTCACTTCTATCATTTTTTTAGATTCCACATATAAGTGATATCATATGATATTTGTCTTTCTCTGACTTCACTTAATATGATAATCTCTAGGTCCATCCATGTTGCTGCAAATGGCATTATTTCATTCTTGTTTATGGCTGAGTAATATTCCATTATATATATATACACCATATCTTCTTTATCCAGTCATCTGTTGATGAAGATATAGGTTGCTTCCATGTCTTGGCTATTGTAAATAGTGCTGCTATGAACCCTGAAATTTTTTTTGAGTATGTTCAAAGAATTAAAAGAAATCATATTTTAAAAACTAAACAATAATATGAAAATTATATTCCTCGAAGTAGAGAATGGCAATAAAGAAGATAAAATTATAAAAGAGAACCAAATGGAATATCTGTAGTTGAAAAGGACAGTAATAACTGAAAATTTCACTGGAGGGGCTTAGATTAGTTTCCCAGGGCTGCTGTAACAAATTACTATAAACCACACGTCTTAAAACAACAGAAATTTACTGTTCCACACTTCTGGAGGCTGGAAGTCTGGAGTCAAGCTGTAGGCCCGGCTATGCTCCCTATGAAAGATCTAGAAAATTATTCTTCCTTGCTTCTTTCTAGCTTTTGGTATTTTCTGGAACTCATTGGTTTTCCTTATCTTGCAGCTGTATCACTCCAATCTCTGCTTTCATTATCACGGGGCCTTCTCTCCTCTGTGTCTGTGTATCCAAACTTCCCTGCTCTTATAAGGACAACAGCCATTGGGTTAGGGCCCACAGTTATCCCATATGACCATATCTTAACTTGAGACCTTATTTCCAAATAAGGACACTGTCACAGGTACTGGGCATTAGAGATTTAATATATAATTGGGGGGACACAAACCCACAATAGGGCTGAACAGATGTGAGCAGGAGGAAGACAGAATCAGCGAATTTGAAGACAGGTTAATTGAGTTCCAGTCTGATGAACAGTAAGTTAAAAAAAGGGGGGGGGATAGGGAAGAAAAATGAACAGAGCCTAATGAGACCTGGGTAATACTATCAAGCATACCAACACCTGCATAAAGAAGAGTCCCAAAAAGACATGAGAGAGAGAAAGGGAGGCCATGTGAAGTAACAGCCAAAATCTCACCAAATTTGATGGAAAACACAATCAATATTCAAGAAGTTCGATGAACATCAAGTTGAATAAGCTCACATCACACTAAAATGGTTCAAGGTCAAAGACAAAGAGAGAATCATGAAAGCAACAAGAAAGAAGTGACTAATCACGGGCAAAGGCTCCCCACTAAGTTTAAGGGCCGACTTTCATTAAAAATCATGGAGAACAGAAGGCAGTGGGATGACATAGTAAAAGTGCTAAAAAAGAGAATTTCCTGGCAGTCCAGTGGTTAGGACTCCACGCTTTCACTGCAGAGGGGCCGGGTTCAATCCCTGGTTGGGGAACTGAGATCCCACAAGCTGTGCGCAGCGTGGCCAAAAAAAACACAAAGAAGTGCTGAAAGACATTGACTGTCAACCAAGAATTCTCTACTAGAGATGCCCTTCAGTAATGAAGGAGACATTAAGACATTCCCAGATAAATAAAACCTGAGAGACTCCATTGCTATCACCAGGCCTATAAGAAATATGGAGTCCTTTAGGCTGAAATGAAAAGACAACAGAGTAACACAAATCTACATAAAGAAATTGTTACATATGTAAATATAAAAGAAAGTGTAAATATAAGTACATAAGATGTATATAGTATAAACATATAAACAATGTACTATTTTCTTCTATCTGCTTAAAAAGGACACTATAAGAATATAATAATCTACATTGCTGAACACACAACATATAAAATATGTAATTTATATGACAGTAACAGTATACAGAAGGGTACATGGAACAGATCCACAGATGAGTAAAGTCTCTGTAAGTCACTGAAATTAATTTGGTATTAATCCAGATTAGAATGCTATAAATTAAGATGTTAATTGTCCCCAGGGAATCCACTAAGGACTATAGTGGGACTATAACCCAGAATCTATAGTAAAAGAAACAACATGGGAATTAAATTGGTACACTAGAAAATAACCAGCACAAAAGAAAGCAGCAATGGAGGAATATTAGAACAAAAAGATATAACTCATACAGAAAACAGATGGCAAAATGACAGATTTCAATGCTACCTGATTAGTGATTAAATAAAATGTATTCATACATGGTTTATACACTCCAATAGACAGACATTGGCAGAATGGATAAAAAGCTATGATCTAGCTGTATGCTATCTACAGAGTTGCACTTTAAATTCAAGATACAAAGAGATCTAAAGTAAAAAGGTGGGAAAACATATACCAAGCAAATATTAACCAAAAGAGAATTAGACTGGCTTTATTATATAAGACAAACATGGCAATTTTTTCTAGAGACAAGTAAGGACATTTTAGAGTGACAAAAGGGTCCATTTCTCAAGGAGGAAACTTTATAAACATTTTGCACTTAACAAGATAGTTCCAAAAGACATGAAGCAAACTGACAGAATTGAAAAGAGAAACAGACTCCTCAACAATAATAGTGAGAAACTTCAATACTCAACTTTCAATACTGGAGAGAATCTGTTATTTCTCGGGATTCTCACATCAGCACTATGGGTTGGACAGAGTAGGAGCTGTGGCCCATATTTTATGGTTCAGGGCACTGAAATTTAGAGAGATTGAGTAACTTGCCCAGAGTCACAACACTGATGAGTGATGGGTCTAAGGCAGGGGAGGGAGTTGATTCCCTGCGGATAGAGATTCCTGAACACATGGACATGAGATCATGCCCTGGATACAAAAACCAAGAGCTCTCCTCACTCCCTTTCCCACATCCTCCTGCCCCAAGGATGCTGCAAGGAGACAGCTGGTACTCGGAGGAGGTGCCTGGCCCAAGAGAATGGCTCAAATCTGGACCCAACTCCTGGCTCTACGTTTCAATTCCTGACCCCAAATACAATGCCTCTCCCCCAAATGCAGACCCCCTGATGGACCGGAGTATCCAAATATGTGTGCATCTCCCCTCCCTTCCCCCTCAGCACTTGATTCTAGCAGCTGACTTGCAGTGAGACTTCCTGGTGGTCAGGTGACCACCCTGAATGACCAGTAGTCTACTTGACTCCCTAACTGACTCAGAACTCAGGACATTCCAAACCAACTGCCCACATGACAGTTGCACAGAGAATTAGCATCATCTTCAACTGACCAAACCTGGATGATGAGCAGTTAATATTCATTAGCTGGGAACAGGGTCTACTGGGCTGGTGTTTTGGTGGCTTAACAGATGAAGTTTACAGACCCTCAGGGTCTCACTGACTAGAAACTGACCAATCGTCTGAGCAGCTTGGACTAAGGCCTGGCTAAGAGCGGGCAGTGGCTGCATGGGCTCTGAGTGGGCACCTTCCCTGCCCAATCATCCCTCAGCCAGATCCAGGCTCTGCTGTACAAACTACAGCCATTGCTCCTGAATCTACTTGCTGGTATTAGTTCCACAGTACCTTCAATGGAGTGGTCAGTGGGGGTGCTATTTGGGTCCCCACCCTGTTGTTTGGCCAGATGCTGATTCTGATGTGCCTGAACCACCGCTGCGGATGGCCAGCAGATTATCTTGATCACAGATGATATTCTTGTGCATCCTGTGTTTGATTCCTTTATAATCTTCCTTTTCTTCTTGGTACCCGAGTCATGATCCTGGAAAACACAACAAAAACTGAAAGAACTATTGATAAGTTGCTGGGAGAAGACCATGCAGAGGTGTCAATTCATTCCCAGGTCACACGTCTGTTCTCTTTGTTCACCAGCCTCCTAGGGGAGTCTAGGGGAGTCAAGCGAATCAAAGCTGGGCTTGGGAAGAGGGTGTTGCACTGTGGGGTGCACTTAAAATAGCCAGTGGGCTGACTGCACGGGGACATGACTTTATTTAGTGAGATAATATAGAAAAGGAACACAGCACAGTGACCGACAGAGTGGGGGCTGGTGCCTGATGGTCTGGATTCAAATCATACCAGAAGCCACATGAACCTGGGAAAGTTATGCAGACCCTCTGTCCTCAGTTCCTTGTTCTGTGATATGGAAATGTTAATAGGGCCCACTTATTAGTATTACATGATGAAGCTTAATACAACAAATCAGGTAGACCCTGACGAAAAATGATGGGTACTTCATAAGTGCTACCTAAGTGTTCAAATATTAAATGTCTGGAAGAATAAGCAAGAAATGTGGTAGTGCTGCCTCCAGAGAGGGGACCTGGATGCCACAGGGCAGGGGAGCGGGGAAGGTTATGGGTGTGATGCTTTAGAGCTTGTGAAGAGTATCTGTTATCATCTCCTGTGATTCCCCACATCAGCCCCGTGGGGAACTCACGGCAGGTGCTGTGATCCATATTTTATGGTACATGGCACTAAAATGTTGAGATTTTAAGTGACTTTCCCGGAGTCACAAAGCTGATGACAGATGGATGTGGGACAGGAATGTAGTTGGTTCCCTGGGACAGAAATCCCTGAACCCCTGAATCCTCTAGATGGTGCCCTGGACTCCTGAGCCCAGGGCTCCCCTCCCTCCATCCCCCCAATCCTCCTGCCTGCCCCGTGGTTGCTCCAAGGACAGGAGGGGTCTGAGCCAACAGGAGGGCCCATGCCTGACCCGCTGCCTCCCTTACATGTTGATCCCTGACCCCACAGCTGTTAAATATCCCTGAAAGAAGGTCCCTTGAAGGATCACAGGGTCCCATCTACGTCCCTCCTCCCTCATCATCTTCACACACCGGGTGAGCCTCCTGGTGGTCTGACCAGTGGTCAGCTTGTCTCCACGTGGCTCAGAGCCCCGGTCTCTCCAAGCCAGCTGCCCACATGGCACGTCTCTAACAAATTAGCTTGGTCTTCAACAACCAGCCCTGGATACACAGTTAGTGCTGATTAATGAGGACAGTGGCCTGCTGGGCTGTGCTTGGTGGTTTAGTGGGTGAAGCTGGCGTGCCCCACTGTCGCCTGACTATTGATGTGAGCAACTGTCTGAGTAGCCTGGGCTACGGTCTGGCTGGGGAGGGGCCGTGGCTGCACTGGCTCCGAGGGCGCACCTTCCCTGCTCATCCTTCCTCATCAAAATCCAGCCCCTACAAACTCCTCATCCATCCCTAGACCCTGCGGTGGCACAGGAGGCCCATGTCCTCCTAGAGGGACCCCTCCATAGCCACAGCCTAGAGACCCCATCACAGGACTGTCTCTGAGGATGACCCAGGCCCTCCTAATCTCTGTCACCAAATGTTCATTCCACTAACCCGATGGCATTGCCCCTTCTCTTCACGTTCCCAGGCAGCACCCAAACACCCAGTGATCCTGTGCACATCAACCACTGGAAATACCGCCATGAAATCCCAGTTTCCTTCCTTTCTGAAAACCTCTAGATTTAGACTGCTAATATTTGCTTTTGGATTTTGACATCGACATTCAGAAGTGTTTAGCCTGTCATTTCTCCTGTCCTGTAATATCTGCTGCTGGTATGACATCAGTATTCTCCTGGTCCGATGAAAGCAGTGCGGGTGTGTTCCCTCTGTATCTGTTCTCTGGAAGAGTGTGTAGGAGACAGCCATCATTTCTGTCTTAAATGTTTGATAGAAATCAGAGGAAGCCACCTGGGCCTGAAGTTTGTTTTGTGGGGAAAGTTTTTTGGATCTCTTTCTAATTGAAGTTTACTTGGTGTATTGTACAGGGCACAGATCTTAAGCGTAGAGCTTTATGGTTTCTTGTAAATATAAACACATCTGTTACCAACACCCAGTTCAATATACAGGACGTCCCCAGCACCCTGGCAGCCCCCTGTAGAAGGAGAGAAGAATCAGTGCTAACTTATTTGGTTATAAGAATGAAATCAGTTACTCCATGTATATTCCAAGTGCAGTGATTTACACACAAATAACTCAAAATGAGTGTGGCAGCACAATCAGAAAGTAGTGGAGGGCGCTGGAGGGCTGGGAGAATCCAGTCCCTTTGGGATTTCCGCTGTGGAGGTCTCAGGCCAGAGGAAGGAAGCTGAGAGGAGCTTCTCAGAAGCATCTGGGCTTTTACAGAGGGAAAAACTACTGCTCCCCAGAGTGGAGCGCCCATTGTAATTCACTGAGCCCTCCCTCTGCGGAGGGTGATTTTCTATACTTGTGTGTTATTTTACATAGAAATGTTTAAAAAATAAACCAAGGAGGAGATCAATTTTGCTTGATGTAAAAGCCTCCAGTGTTAAAAATAAAACATATATCTAAAATTAATGCTAAATCTGTACAGCTCGGACAGGAAGTAACCGGCACCCACTAGCTGACTCAGGAGCGGAGGCGGAGCAGAGAGGCGGCCCTCCTTCCTTGGCCTCGTGTCTCATTTAAGCTGCCAGACACTGCACAAGCTCCATCCCCCCTGAGTCTCAGGCTGAGGCCTCCAGGTCACGGTCTTCACAGGTGTCAGACCAGAACCTGCCACACAAAGGCAGGGACTGGAGTCAGTGGGGAGGTGGGCTCCCTGGGGTCGGTGTGTGGGACCCAGGGGGCTACTCAGACCCTGGAAGTGACTTTGGGCCCTGACATCCCCAGGGCTCACATCCTCAGGGCACTGGGGCCTGTTTGCTGCTCTTTGCCAAGTGTGTGCTGGTAGCATAGAGACCTGTCCTACAGGGGCGATTTAACCTGGGCATTTGGCTGGGTGGCATTCAATTGACTGGTCCCCTGAACAGTGAAAGTGATGCAGAGGAAAGGGGAGGCTCTGGGGCTCCAGGGTGAAAAGTGTGGGTGCTGTGAGGAGTGGGAGGTCTGATGACACAGGTGGAAGTAGTGACCCTCTCCCTCCAGCCCTACTCAACCCGACCCATCAGGAGACCTGCACAGTGGAAATGAACAATTAAGTCACATTTTACCCCCAATAATTTTTTTCCTAACATCCCCACCAAGCCTTGCTTGTTTCTTTCACTTTAGAAAAAGATTATTCAGTGGTAATAAAAAAATGAGGTTTATGGCCTAAGTACTCCAATGTGAAAAGGTTATAGAAAACACTGCTATGTAAAATATAATGAGGGCTTCCCTCGTGGTGCATTGGTTAAGAATCTGCCTGCCAATGCAGGGGACACAGGTTCGAGCCCTGGTCTGGGAAGATCCCACATGCTGCGGAGCAACTAGGCCCATGTGCCACAACTACTGAGCCTGTGCTCTAGAGCCTGCGAGCCACAACTACCAAGCCCACGTGCCACAACTACCGAAGCCTGTGCGCCTAGAGCCCGAGCTCCGCAACAAGAGAAGCCACCACAATGAGAAGCCCGCGCACCGCAACGAAGAGTAGTCCCCGCTCGCCACAACTAGAGAAAGCCGGTGCGCAGCAGTGAAGACCCAACGCAGCCAATAAATAAATAGATAAATTTATTTAAAAAATAATAAAATAAAATATAATGAAATAGGGACTTCCCTGGTGGGCCAGTGGCTAAGACTCTGTGATCCCAATGCAGGGGGCCCAGGTTCGATCCCTGGTCAGGGAACTAGATCACACATGCCCCAACTAAGAGCTTGTATGCCACAACTAGAAGTCCACATGCACAACTAAACATCCCATGTGCTGCAACTAAAGATCCCACATGCCACAACCAAGACCTGATGCAGCCAAATAAATAAATATTTAAAAAATAAATAAAAAATGAAATATAATCAAATATATAATTTTTTTTACTTATTTACAAATTTGGAAATTAAAGAAACACAAGCGATTTATAATTCTGCCCCCTTACCCTATCCCAAATGAGTATGGCATTGAGTTTCCTTCCACTTTTGTGTGCCTGTTTTGTTCTTATATACATATGACAAATCTACAGAGCCTCAGCCTGAGAAACGTTGCCATGAGGTGACTCAGGCCCTCCGCAGGGCTCTGTAGAGGCTGAGGGGCCCCCAGGGGTTGGCTCCCTCCCAGCTGGGTGTGGATCCTGCAGAGTCCCCTACTTGATCCTGAGACTACTACGGGCAGACAGGGCTCTAAGCTGGCCCACGTGAGCTGTCCTGATTGCATGAGAAGGAGTCCCAGGTGCCACTGTCCTTCTCACCCTTTTCCTAGGAGGCCTGAGGGAGGGGGAGGGTCAGGGCCTCACCATGCTATCTCATCATATCCAATGTTAGCGGATCTAGCATTCAGCCGCTGAGTGGGGGATGCCCCCTGTTGATGTTAAGGGGGTTGGTGGAGCAGAGCTGGGTCCCGCACTACCAAGATATTAAATAAATCCTGGAAGACTCTTACAAACGTGTATGATGTGAACAACGCAGCCTGGAGTCAGGCACAGGTGGCCTTACAGTAACCTACAGCCCTCCCCTCCAAATGGAGGAGCCATTGGAGGGTTTGGCCCAGCAACCTTAAAAGGTTATGTGGAGTGGGTTATCGCTTCCAGGAAAGATGTTCTCAGGGCACCCTTCATTTGTCTGCATAGATTTTTACCATCCTCTTGTCTCCCTTGCATGCAATACTGGCCGCCCCAATGTGCTCCTCAGTTTGGCTGGTTCTACCAAAGTGCCAGAAAGAAAGTTAGGAAGCAATGGAACCCATGTGCCCTTATTTGCCTCCCCTCCGCAGTTCACTTGTTTCATGCTCCCATTTCCTCTTATTCTTCCACTTTATCTCCTTCCTTCATTCTAATAGAGTAGGAGAGAATTTCTTGACAGCTGGAGAGAAAACAATGGCACTTGTCAGAGGCGCCCAGGGCAGGACTACACCCATTAGTGGCAGTGGTGGGAGGGGGCAGGGCAGAGCCAGACTTCACAGGTGGGGCTGGGGGGGCTCCAGCAGGGTGGGCCCAGTCATTCTGACTCTGACCTGCCTCCTGCCCCAGGGAGGGGGGGCACTCAGGGCTGCTCAACACGATTCAGTGATACAGACAGGGTGGTGGGCGGGCACTCTGGAGCCAGGGCAATGCTAAGAAAGTGGAGGAGGACGGCTGCAGAGGGTTTGTACAGATTTTATAGAAGATCCCAGGACCTCAAGTGCCTGGATGAGAACAGGTCCTTCTGGATGAGAATCATTAAAAAGAGGGAAGGAGGGGACAGGGAAGAGCTACACAGAGGAGCTTATGGATTAGAAAAAGAGAGAAAATGTAAAGGAGATGAAAGAGTAAGTTACATGCGGATTGCTGCCCTCCCGTTCAGAGTCTGCACTGTCAGCCAAGGAGTGTTTTAGTGCCAAGGACAGCAACGATGCTGGGGGTGGGGGCATGTGAAAGGAGAGCTGAGAATCAGAGTCAAGGTCAGAACTCGGGGCCCCTTCTGTCCCCATCTCTCCCAGGGCCTGGATGGCTTCACCTCTGCAATGAGGGCGAGGGTCTAGGATCTCTAGGGCCCCTTTTCCAGCCCTCGAATTCTGTAACTATGACCAGGAAGCCATGCCTGTGTCCTCCTGTGCCTCCAACAGCCAGTCACATCTCCACGGCTTTCTGTGCATAACGCTGCCCTCCTCCCAGCTCCCTCCTCTTCCTTACTTCTTCCCTTCCTTGTCGGCTTAAAGTCCCTTCTCCTTGACAACCTCCACCAACCATATTGTTCTCCAACATATGGGAACATTGCAGGAACAATTGTGGGTATCCTGCCACTCTCCCTAATCAATCAATGGATCGATGAACCAATCCAACCAAATGCAGGAAGCACCTGTCATGGACCCAGGGTTTTGATGGGCCTCCTGGGACAGAATGGCAGCCAATTCCACATACAACTTATCTGTCCTGTGCCTGAGGCGATGACCTTAGTTACTTGCTAGATACTTAGTCCTCACAACAACCCCGTAAGTTTTCTAGCTCCTTAGAGGGGATGAACACAAGCTTAGAGGTAAAGTAACTTGTCCAAATTCTCTTGGTCTGCAAGCTATGCAACAAGGGTTCTCCAGCAGGAGGATATATGCCCACATGAGTAAACAGTACCTGAGAGATTTCCCTGGAGTCCTGGAAGGACTGGGGAGGAGGGGACCTGGGCCGGCCTGGGGGAAGAGCACAGGGTGGGCATGGCTGGGGTATGGGGGAGCAGGGGCAGCGCTGCCTGGCTGCAGCAGTGGGTTCTGAGAGGAGAAGCGACCCCTGGCCCTGCCTCCCAGACGCTCTGTCCTGGGGCAGGTCAGTCCCAGAGGACCAGGTCAGCAGGGCTATGAGGACAAGTGTGTGGGGCCAGCCCGGCAACCCTTCACAGCATCCTCGAGAATTCCTGCCAACCGTGGAGGGGCTCGAGGGGCAGCTGAACATGGGCCTCATTCCTGGTCCCAGGATTTGGGTTGTGGGTGAGGAGTGGAGGCGAGAAATGTGCTCCAGGGTGTGCTCCCCACTCACCTCTCCAGGAGCACCCAGGAACCCGTGCAGGAAGCTGGGAGGATGTCACCTCTAACCTCCCCATCCCTGGGAGCGCCCTTAAACCAGGAGTAAACCTGAGGACAGGACATGAAGGTGCCGCCTCAAGACCTGAATGTGCAGAGGGAGAGTCTGCTTCTCACCCGGCACCGGGATCACACACGAAGAACTGTGTCTCCAGGTTCAAGTGTTCATGAGGGAGTCGAGTCCCACCAGATGGCCTCATCCCAGCTCAACCCCCAAACCCCAACCCAATAACACTTGTGCTTTATTCTCAAGAGATGCCAACCAAACGTAAGCAAAGGTTCTGGTGTTTGGCAGTGGCAAAGGCAGCAAGAACTGGTCTCCTGGAAATGATTATCTTAAATAACAAAGCCAGGAAAGGTGATTACAAACACAGCACCCTCAAAGCCCACAGACGTAATACCTCTTCCTATTAGGTCATTAAAATACAGAAAACATGGGACTTCCCTGGTGATGCAGTGGTTAAGAATCCACCTTCCAATGCAGGGGACACGGGTTCGAGCCCTGGTCCAGGAAGATCCCACATGCTGCGGTGCAACTAAGCCCGTGTGCCACAACTACTGAGCCTGCGCTCTAGAGCCCACGAGCCACAACTACTGAAGCCCGTGCACCCAGAGCCCATGCTCTGCAACGAGAAGCCACTGCAATGAGAAGTCCGCGCACCGCAACAAAGAGTAGCCCCCGCTTGCTCAAACTAGAGAAAGCCCGCACACAGCAATGAAAACCCAATGCAGCCAAAAATAAAATGCAGCCAAAAATAAATAAATTAATTTTTAAAAATACGGAAAACACAAAACAAGCCTCCATGTTTCCTCTTCTTTCTGATCTTATACCTTTCTTCCTCAGCCTACTAAAGCAGCTGAGCCTTGTTCCCTACCTGGAGAGTCGTCATCCTCGCTGCTTGAGTCATATATGCTCTCCTCCAGCCATTCTTTAGAAACACAAACTTGAGCAATAAGGTTGTTAGAGAGAGTAGCTCACTCCTTCCTTCTACTCCAGTGGAGGCCATGCTGGCTCACTCAGCATCACCCGGCTCTTTCCTCTGGGTTCTCAGCCTTCCCTGGGCTCCCTGGAGCCAGAGCCCTTCACCAAGATCATAGTTGCAAATCTTCTAATGAGAGAGAGGAGCCCTCTTCAACTTCTCACTACCCCAATTCCCACCGGATAAGTACCACTGTCACCTGCAAATTTATCAACCTGAAATTCCAC